AGCCTTTACCTAAAAAAAAAAAAAAAAAAAAAAAAAAGAGTTTAAAATGTGTCCAACTTGTGATGCTCCAAGATGTGAGTGTTCCGGAAATAGAACTCTCCCCAAAACTTTCTACCGTTCAAAAACTCCGGGTACCAGAAGCGATCATCTGCCCACATCTTCTCAAAGGGAATGTCATCCTTCTCAAACCACTCAGGCGCCATCTCTTCCGTTTCGCCAGGCACGCCTTCATAATCTGCCACGTGGAAAACGTGCACCTCCCAAGGTAGTGGTTTATCATCAAAATGAAAAATCAAAATTCCCCGTCTGTTCATGTCTAGGGGTTTAATGAGTGCTTCTTCTTCCAGCTCTCTCGCAGCCGATTCCCTGATGTTCTCCCCATCTTCGACTTTCCCACCAAATCCATTGTAGTAGCCTTCTCCGAACCCGCGCTTTTTTCTGCCGAGGAGGAGTCTCCCGTTCTTCTCCACGATGACAAGCGTTAGCAGCTTCGCGTTGGGCAGACATCCCTGCCGACCATCAGCGCCTCCGCCATCGCCGGCCAAAGCCATCTCCTTGCGGCTGCGATCGTCCGCCACGTGGCATTGAAGTTGAGCATCCCCAGGAAGTTCGCCTTCTTGGTCATCAGCAGCGCCGCCGTCGCCAGCGACAGCAATCTTTTCCTTGAGGTCTCTGAGATCGTCCGCCACGTGGCATTGACGTTGAGACTTCCCAGAAAGTTCGCCGCCTTGGCCATTATCAGTGCCGCCATCGCCAGCGACAGCAATATTTTCCTTGAGGTCTCTGAAATCGTCCGCCACGTGGCATTGACGTTGAGAGTTCCCAGAAAGTTCGTCTTCTTGGCCATTATCAGCGCCGCCGTCGTCAGCGACAGCAATCTTCTCCTTGAGGTCTCTGCGATCGTCCGCCACGTGGCATTGACGTTGACAGTTCCCAGAAAGTTCGCCTTCTTGGCCATCAGCAGCGATAGAAATCCTCTCCTTGAGGCTGCTGCGACCGTCCTTCACCTGCTGGACAGAGATACCCACGGCAGCATCGTCGTGCCGGCCATCCGTAAGTTCGCTTTCTCTTCCTCCTCCTCCTCCTCCTCCTCCTCCATGGGTGCGGATCCCAAGCCCAATCCCGACGCCTATCTCCGCGGCGTTGTTCCCTCTCCTTCTCCCGCCATTTCGGCAGCCACCCTCGCTATGGCCGTCCGCCTCCGCTCCTGCCATCAGCGCTCGTTTCGGCTGCCACGTGTCGGGTTCCGACACTTCTTCTTGTGACTCTGATCCCCTTTCTGTCCCGATCTCGTCCGGACAAGTGGCCCGCTCGGCGCTCATTAATTAACTAACAAATGACGGGAGAGCTGCTGATAGGCCGGTGAACGGCAGGAGACTCGCAGATCAGGGGATGAAGGTCGTCCGCCTCTGCTCCGGCCATCGGCGGTCGATTCGGCTGCCACGTGTCGGGTTCAGACACTTCTTCTTGTGACTGTGCTCCCCTTTCCGTCCCGATCTCGTCCGGACAAGTGGCCCGCTCGGCGATCATTAATTAACTAACAAATGACGGGAGAGCTGGCTGCTGATAGGCCCGTGAACGGCAGCAGACTCGCATATCAGGGGATGAAGAGCTGTCGGAATGTGAGAGATCAGCTGCTGAGCGGAGCGGCCGCCGCTCGGGTGTTAAAAGGCGCGAACAACGTGCCACATTTGGAGATTACGGTCCGGACGAGAAAGCATGCCGCCGTCCCTTCAAGAAGATGCGAAGACAATTAAAAAAAAACAAAAGAAGATGCGAAGAAAAAGAGAGAGCGGGTCTCTCTTCTTGTTCGAATCGAGAAGGGGAGGCGGCGGGTTACGCTCCTTGCTCCTTTGGGACGCAAAGCACGTGTCATCAACACCCAGAAGAGGCGAGGCGGCGGGTTACGCTCCTCAGGGCGGCGGGTTACGCTCCTTTGGGACCAAAAGCACGTGTAATCAACACCTAGTTGCACTACTCGCCATCAACACCCAGAAGTCTACCTGTAGTGTAGTGCAGCGCGCTCTCCACTCGGTAGTTTAGTAGCAGGAGTGTGCTAAATACGATGATGACCCTGTTCGAATGTGAAAAATGAGAGGAATCTTCCCGCCGAAGGTGTCGCAATCCACGTCTCTTTGGAGTCGCAAAGATGTCGCTATTAAACGCAACCCCTGCATGCGGGCCGAGGCCCCCGGAGTCCAAAAAAAACACTCAATGGGCCTCGTTCCACTACCCTCGACTTCAAAAAATATCCAGGGCAGCGCTGTTACACTATGCCCTTGAGGTGTGCTAATCACTATTGGAAAGTGATTAAACCACAAGTACCCCGCTCAGCTATAGGACGCGGGCCTTAGGGAGGTCGGCCAAGGGAAGGCCCGGTCGCTCCTTCTTGGCCGGAGCCCGGCAAGTACGGGGTGTTACTCATGAAAAAAAAAAAAATTATAAACACAATAAAAAAAACGAAATAAAAGAAGATACCGTCGTTGCTTCTTGGCGCGCCGTAGGGGAGAGAGAGAGCTGTCTCTTATACACATCTAGATGTGTATAAGAGACAGTGCCTACTAATTCCATCCACATTCAGCCGTTTTT